CATGCATTTTTTAACCATTTGCATGAACACTAGGAACACCAAAGCCACCCATAAATATAGACATGAACATATACATGCTAGAGCACCTTCTTCACCAATCCTTCTACAGTTTATTAAATTGGTGATATGAACACAGCCACATAGAAGAAGAAGCACAGCAGATTTATTTAAAAAAAAATATATATATATCCCCAAAACTGGCAGCCAAACTCTGAAAAATGCTACTTCTAGCACTTGTTGTACTAATAGAATACTATTGGTATATCCTCACACAACACCACTACAATACAGTACAACCCTCCTCAGTGAAACATCATCTGGGCTTTTTCACATGACCTTGAAGAGCAGCCTGCTTCACATTCAGTTTATCTTTGTGCCACCTTTTACTTTTTCCAGCAGAGCTTGCCAAAAAACAAAAGCAGATGACAACAGCTACGTATTTTGCTTATAAAAAGACGGTCCCCAAACCGCATTCATTTCGATCTTTCACCGTCGAGGCATCAATAGATGGCAAAAACCAGCCTGGAGGAGCTGAAGAGAGATCACGCTGCCACACAGGAGAGACTGAAAACAAGTGAAAAGCAAGTGGAAGAACTCAAGAAAGTAAACACAGAGCTGGGGGTCGCTCTCGAAAAGCAGGCTGCTGAACTTTTGTCCATAGAAACCAGAGTGACAGTCGGCGGTAGTGAGCTGCAGCTCCTAACACACAAGATGGAGGACCTGAAGGCCCAGAACACCGCTCAAGAAGTCAAACTCACATCTGTATCGGACAGGATGAACACCAGTGAGAGCCGAGTGGACATTCTGATCAAAGAGAGTGCAAAGGTGGCCTTCTACGCTGCTTTGACAGACTCACTTGTTGTAGGGCCTTACAATACTCCAACAGTGCTAAAGTTCAGCAAGGTCTTCACCAATGTTGGCAACGCCTACAGTCCGACCACTGGCGTCTTCACCGCACCTGTGAAAGGAGTGTACTATTTTAGATTCACAATATGTGGTTCTACAAAAAAGGGCGACATGGGAGTGAAACTATTTTATAATGGGAGATCGGTAATGTTTAATTTGCAAACCAGGTATACTGAGTTTTTTGAGTACTTGTGAAATGCTGTTACTCTAGAGCTGAATGTAGGCGATGAATTACATTTGGTCCTACCAGAAGAGAATGCAGTGTTTGATAATTCAAACAATCACAGCACATTTAGTGGCTTCTTGCTTTTCAATATGTGAATGAAGATTGAAACAATCCATTCAAATTGAACAAAAAGAGAAATAATTTGCTATTTTCAATCAAAACAATCATTTTTTTTACTAATACGACTGTGATTTATTACATACAGTTTCTTTACAGGCCTTCCATGACATAAACAATCAACAAATACAATTTAAATCTGATTTTCGAATTATTTCTTAAAAAGGACAAACAAAAAATGCTGTAAAGAGCTGATTCCTTAGGACAGAGTGTGATGCAGGTCCAAAGCGTTCCCAAAAACACTGTTATATTTTGTCCAAAAGATGGCAGTGTTGGATGCTGCACGAACAGCAGGCTGTGTCAGGGTTGGGCCTTGGGAGAAAATTGGAATACAATGACATGTAAATGGTAATGCATCATATAAGTAATGGCTGTTTTCTGCTTAATTAGGCCTTCAAAATAACAAAAGATCATATGTTTATGTTTCTTCATTGCCTCATATGTCCAATATTTTTGAATAAACAGAGAGATTAAATATAAACTGAATACAAACTGTTTATTATATTCTTAACACTATTATACCGCATTAGCCAACACACCCCTGAAGAAAAGACATGCCACTATCAAGTGATCTGCAGGAACCATGAGGGCAGATGGGAAACTTGATGGAACACAATGTGATTTTTTCTTTTTCTTTCCTGGACCTTTTTCACATCACAGTTTGGGCATCCGTCCAACAAAACAATTAGCAAGTATGGGAATCCCTGCCCTGCTCTCATGCAGTCTCCTCCCTCCCCTTGTATATCTCTCTTCCTCTCTATCTCTCTGCAGCTGGCCCCAGCAGAGAGGCGGCCAAGTTTATTTTCTCCACGGTGGTCCCTTTGAGGTGGCGGCGAGGCCCCTGCCACGCCACAGCTGATGTATTAGGTGAGGGTCCTTGAAGAGATGTCGGTGGGACTCTTTTATTACTGCAGCACTCCATCTTATTGTTCCTATTAAAGGACACTTGGTGTTTTCTTTTTCTAATGCCTAAAATGAAGTGATCTAGTAAGTGTGATTAAAGTCAACCACATCATTCCAGTCACTGGAAAGGTAATGACCTCTGAAATAAAATTAGCACATGAGCCTCAATAATAATGTAAATATCTCCATGACGACTAAGAAAATACAAGTTTGCGAAGGCCATGAGTTGCTTTTGAGAGTTGGAAGAGGTAGAGAGTTAGCATTATTTTCAAACCACTATTAGTAAATCATGAACGAGACTTGCATAGCATTAGTGATTGAATACTATCAAATTCATGTAGTTTACTGTTTATGTTTTGCTTACAGTTGGGAGCAGACATATTCAGATGTTTAATAAAGCAACATATATCTCAAATATATTCCAATACAAAATAAAGTCCAGCATTTGAAACCTGAGTAAAATACAGAAGTGATGTTGGGTAAATGCATTCAAAAGCAGATTATTATGGAGTTGAATGGCTGAAGTCAGTCTTGGATTATTGGATAATCATTAATGTGTATAAGCAACATTTAACTCCATGGAGGAGAATGAGGTCATGTCCTAATACGTCTGTGAATTTGAGGGTTACACTATAAGATAAAAACATTTCACTGTTTCAGAAAAAAACACACTGGGGGTGTTTTAGGCTGATTACTGAAGGAATATAGATGATACTTGATGTGTATTTAGATTGTGTATATATATATATATATAATCTTGATTATGTCTGTAACCTTGTAACATTTCCAAACTATATAACTGTAGCTGGTCATTGTCAAGCTGGTTTCTTCAGTTGTATATTGATCTAACAATGCATCATATTTGATTTCACTCATCAAAAGTTACCTCTAAAATATGATGTAGGTAGCATAAAATAAAATGATAAATACAAGTACATGCACATCAACATTTAGATGTATTTTTCTTTAATATGCAAAAAATGCAATGTTGCTTGTCTTTAAGAAAATACAATTGTGTATTTATAGCATGTCAGGTATAGCGCTGTGTTTGCATTTGATCAGTGACTGTCTCTGTAGCATGCGCTTCTTGATTCTAAACTGCTATTGAACAGTAAGAAAACCAAAGCAATGCTCTTTGCTCCCAAGTCAGCGTCCTCTTGCCTCTCCATTGACACCCTTGATGGTGTCTCTGTTGAGTTTGTTGATACATACAAATATCTGGGCTTTTGGTTGGACAGAAATCTAAACTTTAAACATCACATTGAAGTTCTAACAAAGAAATTGAAATTCACTCTTGGCTTCCTTTACAGACTTAAACGTTGTTTTTCAATTTCTTCCCGTAAAAGGTTGGTCTCTGGGTCATTCCTGTCCCAGCTTGACTACGGTGATACAATCTATAGATTTGCCTGTCCCACTGTTTTGGCCAAACTTGACCCACTCTACCATGCTGCACTGCGATATATATCAAATGCACCCTATAGGACTCATCATTGCAAACTGTATAGCCTAACTGGATGGTCCTCCTTAGTATGCGTAGGATGCAGCATTGTTTTTTATTAATGTATAAAGCAATTTTAGGAAAGCTTCCACTGTATATATGTGCCAGATTTGTTCCAGTTTGTAACTCTTACAACCTCAGAACCAGTGCCTGGATACGGTTCCAGGTACCTGCCGTGCGGACTGAGGCTGGAAAAAGGAGTCTTTTTTATTATGGTCCTTGGTCTTGGAATGACCTTCAATCAAGCCTCAAACTGATGGCACTTGTCCCAATAGCCTCTTTTAAATTGAAGTTGTCTGAGGTCCTTACCACCAGCTGCTCTTGCAGTAATAAGTAGTGCACCTTTCTTACTGTCCTAAATGTGCACAATGTAGTGACTGCTTTTTCGTCTTTTGTTTTCTTAGTTGTGTTCTCTGTATTTTACATGTTTGTGTTATGTGCTATGTGTAACGTTGCTGCCTTCTTGGCCAGGTCAGCATTGTAAATGAGATTTTATCTCAATGCTTTTTATCTGGTTAAATAAAAAATAAAAAATAGAGTAAGACATGTATGGAGATAGACAGAAAGGAGGAGAAATGAGAGGGATTTCGTGTTAAAGAGAAAGAGAGGGGCCGCGTGTCAGACTGCATAAATAACTGTCGGCCTGATGTAAACAAAGCGGTCATAACCCGAGCAAATTAAAACAACTGGTCTGGGAGGGATTAAAAATCAGCCCGCAGGTTTTTCTACAACTTTCATAATGTTCCAAATATTTTCTGACCTCTTACAAATCGCGCTGCTCAGCCCCTCACTGCTGATTGGCTTAATCCTAAATAGGCTATCCAATCAGTGCACTTCAGTCAGTGAAATGTGTAATTATCATAGACTGTATAAAGGTAATTACAACTCTCATTCGACACTCATTTAGAAGTTGCATTAGAATAAACGTGTGTAGTTATCATTAAATAAAGTCAAAGGTTTAATAAAAGCATTGACTAACAACATGTTATATTTAGATATTTATAAATATATCAATTAGCTGAGATATATTTTTTTGTATGCCGTTCACTTCCCCTTCATCCATCAATTGGCAGGGTGGTGAACTAATTTTTGACTTGTTTAAACTAAGAGCACTAACTCCTTTAAGGGTCTCAAATAATCTTTGAAGGAAAACGTTTGTTTATGTAATGACAACCACGTCCACTGTTATCTTTTAGAAACAACAGAGGGACTTATCTGCACTGATGCTCCGGTGCTCAGGTTATTCTGAAGGAGTGGACTGATAAGAGGGGTTACTAGGTCAAAGCATTGGCCCACACACGGTAATAAACAGGAATAAATGGAATAAAAAAACATTCAATACTCAAGGTGTAAAAGTGATACAAATATATTTTATATACATGTAATCTGTACAACCATTTGAGACGGTGGACATTTTTCATGTGCACATCCTTCATAATGCAGCCGCCACAACAGGCCTGCATGCGTAAAAATGCGTCTGAAGAGTATAAAAAAGCAATTTAAAGCACGCAGTTTATCTTTGGACCAGCAAAGACAACAATGGGTGACATATTGCATTTAAATAAAATTCAACTTGTCTTTACGGGAACGAAAAAGAGATAATATTCTCTGTTATTCCCACTCAAAGTCTGCGGAGATGAGACGTTCATGTCAGTCACAATGTTTCTGTTTTTTTTCTCGGAAAAGCAGTGTTCCTCGGTTCGTCAAGACGCCGTTGTTCCACATAACCTCGTTGTGTTGTTCAGCATCTCCTTCAACTCGTTCTCCGGCTTACCTGCAACCATGAAAGGCCACGTCTGCGGGGATAAATAAAATCAATTAGGGCCAGAAGTTTCTTAGAATATTAATAAAATAAATCAAGTTATTAGATTGGAAGAAAAAAAACACAGATCCATAATGTGTCAGTTTATCACCTGCAGATATCAAGTGCACATAATAATTGCCTGGCAGGAATGGACGATATCAAGACGTTCATGCATTAAATAAATACAAATGTTATGTGATTGAGATCTAATCGATTTAACAATAAATCAGTGTGTCTCCTAAATCAGAAGATCTGTAATGCCAATTGACATTAGTGCAGCTATTTTTAGCTATTGTCAACATATCAAGGCCAAATGTTGTATGCCTCAGAGCTTTTTTCCCAAAAAACAATTGTAAATCTCATGTGTGCATGTAATATATGTTATGGTAAAAATACATTTTAGACAGAGCTCAGTTAAGATCGTATTCAAATGTTTTGCGTAAAAACAGTCAGCTGAATTTTTGCTCTTCCTCTCTCATGCACCTGCTTCACTTATCTATCACCCACATGTATCACCTATATATTGGTGTAGCCTGGAATACAAAAATATCAGGGACTGAAATATTATAAGGCAAAAAAAACAACCTTTCCTGCTCAATTCGGCCTGTAATACATTTAAATTTCACTTCAGTTCCCTTCCTCATACATTTATTTTTAAACATAAATAAACGTTCAGCTGAATTTCCCCTTCACCCAGTCTCACCAGGTTAACGGGGTGGATAAATCCGTTTTCATATTTGTCGTTGACCAGTATCTGCCGGAGGTGCGCGATGTAGCTGGACGCCAGGCGCAGAGTGTCCAGTTTGGAGAGCTTGGTGTCCGACGGTACCCATGGTAAGGTGGTCTTCAGGCGGGAGAAGGCTTTGGACAGGACCCGCATCCTGGCTCTCTCCCGGGCGTTGGCCGCGTTCCTCGGCCCATGCTTGCCCTCCTGCTGTGCCCCACCCTTGGATGCCTTTTTCCGGGACGCTTTCTTCCGTTTCTTGCCCGGTGTGTCTTTTGCGCCCTCGGAGTTGGAGCTCTCTTCCTCGCTCTCGTTGGAGTCTTTACTGGAGGAGCCAAACTTTAGGATGCCGTCCAGGAGCTCGTCGTCGACATCGCTGAGAGACCCGGTGGACATGGTGAACCAAAAGCAGCGCGCTTAAAACATGGGAGCAGGAAGCTGTGGCCGGACAGGAATGAACAACCGCGCGCCTCAGAGATAAGTTCATCAACTGCAAAGTGAGCGTGAACAGAGCAGAGAGGAGCAGGCTTTTTATCCCCATCGTTGGGAGGGCGTTACCTCATGCTGGGAGGAGACATGGAGTTGATCTCATGCTGGTCCCCGAAGTGGTCCAGGACCCCAAGGGACGCTGGATAGGTCCCCAGGAAAAGGAGGATTTGAACCGTAATTCAAACCAACAATTAGGAGTAGGCCTACTTTCTATGAGGAAAAAATTGAAAGGATGAATTAGAAATATATTTGTCCGTTTTAAGAAGTTCAAAGGGTGCATTAACTAAGCCCCAAGACTGTTTTTCAGGTCTCAGGCTCGAAAATGACATTCCCAGAACAAATGACAATAACTTCCCTTCTAAAAGGGGTAAATTAATCATCTTTTTTCTCAAAGCAATGATAAACCTGTGAGTTGGATGTAGAAAAGTCAGAATCAATATAGAATTGTTTTATTTTAAAGTAAATTCAGATTGAACATAGTAAAACAATGTAAATTATAGTGTCCGTCCAAAAATAAACCATTACTTATAGTGAAAACCACCCTTGGATGATGGGATCGGAGACTAAAAGCTTTAGGAATTCAAACTATAACATATAATAAGTACCCTGTATCAAGATTGATGCAAAACAAGTGACATTTGACCTTTTTAGAGAGAAAAAACAAAACCACCTCTGGGGTCATTTGGGTGGAAATGGGCGTATTTGCTCTTTTGAACCGTTAGAGCCAATAGAATCGAAGGGGAATTTCCACATACACGTTACCATTGAGAAATTAGAGCTATGCACACGCATTTTGCCCAAAGGAAACCTACAGTATCTTACGCTCTGAAATCTGAAAACTGAAAACTAGTTTTATTGCTGATGGATTATCAGAAATAATTTCAAAGTGACACAGACACATTGGATTAACCTATGGATTAACCTTCAGCAGCGTTTTTATCGTTTTAATGCCATTGAAGATAACTTTTGATCAGAAAACATATTGCCGTGTTGGCTACCTAATGCTACGTGGTGTGATGTCTTTGTTAGCTTCTCATGTCGCGAGTTCGGATCGGACAGTAATGATACCAATACCTGTCGAATCTGTGCAATCTCAGTTTGCTAATCGATATCTTGTTTGTGCAGATACGATAAGTAATAAGGGTATTTTAACGTGATCTCTGTGCTAAGTGTGTTAGCATGTTTTCGCTCAGGGCTAATTCAGAGCCTTTGTTATTACCCTTATGTTTCGTTTTGCTAAAAATGGTTAATATTGTCTGATAGCTGAGTTTCTTCCCGTTAAGTAGGTATGACACATTAATAGGTTTTTAAAAAGTGTGGGCCTATACAGTTTGAAAAACTTAGGCTCAATCTGTAATATTCACAGTTATTTTTCAAGGTTTCAAACGTTTGACCTTTGTTCACCCTTAATGGCCACAACTGTTGTGGTTATAAATATAGCAGACAAATATTACAGACAAAGAAACATATTTTAATTGTGATGGCAGGTTCTAATGATGTCTTTTGATTTGGTGCAATAGCCACATTTTGTTGTACATCTAAAACACTTAAGAAAACTAACCTGTGACCACTTTTTCTTAACTTTGGACAATATGATTTTACTGTTTCATCTTATATGTAATTGGCATAACGTTTATTCTAATAACCTAGTGAGATCAAAATACTGTCTTCTATAGTCTTCTATAAATAAATTGGTTTAAGGTTCTTGCCATAAATCTTACATTATAATTAAAAAATATTATAAAAAAGGTCCTATCATCAAGACACTTAACTCTAAGATATTTAGATTTTAGATTTTACTTTACAATTACAAATCCAAAAAGTGTTTGTTTTAAGCCAGTTCCACTTACAGGGCCCACGTAACTTTCAGCACATCTTGCCAGTTAACAGGATAAAGTGCAAGGACATGGGGGTGTCACGTCTCAAATGGCAAACTGGCGCCTTGGTCCCCTCTGATGTAATGGATACTCGGGACCCAAAATCCTCTGTTTGGCCTTCCACATCATTCCACACCGATGCTCCAAACAAATGGGACCTGGAGCTGTTAAAGCGGGAAACGGTGGGTTAATACTGATGATAGTCAGGTATGTGTTGCTGACTGAAATTCCTAATTGCTGGTGATACTGAAAGACTGAAACATTTGCTGTTTGCACGTGTGGCTAAAGCTGCACATTTGCATGAAGCTGCAGATCTCTTGGGGATGTATGTGCCTTTGTCTTCACAGTTGAAGCGTGTGCAAAGGATGAGAGGTGTGTCTCTTGAGAGCTGACCTTTAACCCCTTCGCTTCCGGTGTCACAGTGCATCCAAACAAGCACCAGCACTATATGTTTTAGCCATAGAATTGACACAATACTTCAAAACACTTGCTTGGAGATATACATCTTAAAACAAAAAGATCTAAAACAGGAACACATTTGGAAAGAAGTTCACAGGACTGCAAGGGAAAAGCGATAAGGCACTACACAGAGCGGACAAAAAGAAAGAGAGAAATGAAAAGATAGGTGAGGGGATGGAGGGAGAGGAAAGAGAGCAACGAGGGGGCTTAATCTCCTGGGTGGGCTGGAAATCAAAGCACTCTGTGGAAAAGTAATAATAGAGTTTGGTAGATTGATGATCACCTCTGAGATACATGGATCCACCAGGGAGAGGGAAATGAACTAAAATAGCTAAAAAAACAGAGCACAACCCTGTTTTTCTTCCCTATGCGTCAATAAAACACAGTCCCTGATGTACAACAATCATGACTCAAACTTGTACTTGCCAGGGCTAACTGCTTTTCATGTGAAAAAAAAATTCAAAGAGTGTTTAGAAAACCTTCACATCGAGAGCCCCGGTCACAGACACTGTGACATGAGGCAACAGGTGGAGAGGGGGGTAATGGTGAGAAAGATGGGGAAAGAAAAAAAAAGGGACCCTGGCAGTTATGGAGGGACGAGCTGCTAATTAGCCGGTTTGGGTTCAAAGGTTAGGCTGGTTGTGTGATGTCACCACGAAGGGACGGGTTCCAGATGTTGCTCGCAGGGCCACCGAGGGGGGGGGGGGGCACCTGATGCCTCCGGTCATCATCATTTCTCTCTCTGTCACACACACACATGCACACACACCTTTGTTAAATGCTTATGTTGAGAAAGGAGGAATTTATCAAGTGATATTGTTATTGGAATGTCCTGTAAGAGAACAAATAATATTGTATGACAGAACTGAAAGTTATTAATGTCATGCTAAGTGACAGCGGCCCACATTGGTTTACTAAGGGGATGCAAATTGCTTCTGATTAACACTGTCAGTACCAAAATGTTTTATGGGCCCCTTTTTTGTTTGGTTGAACTTAAAAAAAGAATGTATTTATTCTAGTCCAACAAGAAACAGGCACTTCATCACTTAAGAGCCAACACAGCCATGGACTAAAGGTTATATGGTCAAAGAACTACCTGTTGCTGTGAGTTTTGACAGCCTATATTTACCGTCACCACAACTACACCCATGAAAAAGACAGAGGGCTGACACTAGAGCCCTTCCTTTCTTTAACGTATGACAAATCAAAGACCTACTATGCAGGAAATAAACCAAAAGTAACATTAGCAAGTATTGCTTAAACACTAATAATGCCTAACGAGAGGCATGACACTTCTTATGTATAAGAATCTGTAATACTACTGTATTTTTATTGTAATTTGTTCTTGATTCCTTACAAAAAACATAGATATAACACTTTAATTTGACTTGCAAAGCACAAAAGAGTTGCGGTGGTCGGGGGAAAGCTTCTTTTAGATTTTAAATGGGTAACAAAATAAAAAATTGAAACTGAAAACAAGGAAAAGCTGCAGTTGACGATTAAAGCTATTTACAGTGTTTCTTATTCCTAAAATGTTACTTGGTGATGAAGAAAAAGATGCCTCTATCAAATGGTGGTATCTTCTGACAAACTTCCCAGTCATTAACTGCTTAACTTGTCCTTTTTTCTTCACCTAATTTATCAAAACTAAAAAGAAAAGAGCAAAACATCACAAGGACAACACAATACAGGAAGGAACCATTAAATATTGTCAGGGAAAAGAAGGATCTAAAGCAAAATATTGTTTTATTTATTGGCAAAACATTCCACTTGTGTTTTTCTGTGACATATAAAAACGGGAAAAATGTAGTTGCTTGCTGGTTTTAAAGAGCTGAAAGAGAATGCAATCTTTGAGTGAGGCTTGGGGTGAGAAAAACATCATCCATCTATGTCCAAGCACTCCAGTTCCCTGTCCCTTATCACAACCATACTCCCCCAACACACACACACACACACACACATTCACAAATGTGCGCACTATTTAGTTTCCGCCTCAGTTCAAGTACCTCTAAAAAAAGTCAAAAATAAAATCAAAGTAAAACAAAGAGAGGTTCCAGAAAGTGCAAAGCAGGGAGTGGAGAAAGCCAGAGGGAAAAAAAGGATATGACGGACAAACCGGGCAATAATAGAGAATTATGACATTTTTTTGGGAGTGGATTTGTCATATTCTTTTTAAAAAAAAACTAAAATCCTTTGATATTAAGTGACAGGAACATCCGGGGGGAGGCAAACAGTGATTTTCCAGAAAGAGACTGATATTCTGTCACAGTGTCGGTTAATGACCTGGAAGTCTTGTCCTTGCAGCTTGAGGGAGTTGGAGTTGGTTAGTCTCCGGAATTTGTGCACACATTATCTGCATAAATGTGTAAATCTGTGGTTAATGTATTGGGTTTCACAATGTGTGTGATGGATGGAAATGGATGTTGAAAGAAATGGTGGCAAATGATGGAGAATCATCTCTAATGTGCCCTGCTGGGATAATGTTTTACTCCTTACCTCAACGACCAATCAGAAGACAGGAACAACAGCATGTTTTGACTTGAGCAAACATGGTGTTGTCATTGTGCTCAAGACGTTACATAATCCTAAATATAAAAAACGAAATAATAAAGTTGCTCAGTGGTGCAAGGGGCCCAAAAAGTTTAGCTGCAGGGTATA